GTTCTGTCTCAGGGGTAATTTTTCCACGAGTAGTTGTAAATTGGCTGTGTCCACGGGAGGAGGTGAGTTCAGAGTCTGCCTACGCCGCCATCTTGACTCCCTCCGAAAAACACTGTTGATGGGCTTTTTATTTTGAACAATGTATTTTTCAGCTCTAAATTTCCATTTGGTTCTTTATGTCTCCTATTTCTTTGCTAAGATTTTCCATTTCTTTGCTGAGGTGCTCTATTTTTTCCTTTGTTTCAGCCACGTTTGTAATTGCTCACTGAAGCATTTTTATCATGAATGCTTTAAAATCTTTGTCAAATAATCCTAACATCACTGCCACATCAGTGTTACCATCTGTTGATTCCCTTTCTGAGTTCCGTTTGAGATCTTCTGGCTCTTGGGAGGACGAGTGATTTAGGGTTGAAACCTGGACATTTCTGGCGTAATGTTGAGACTCTGGATCCTATTTAAACCTTCTGTTTTAGCTGGCTTTTTCGGATACTGTTCTGGTAGGGAAAGGGGGGTTACCACCTTGTTACTGCTGGGTGTATACAGAAGTCTAGGTTTCCCACTTGGTCTCAGCTGACTTGTGAGGCGGGGTGGTTCTTACTGCTGGGTGGGGGTGAAAATCCAGGCTCCCCATGTGGTCTCCACTGATGCCATGGGAGGAAGCAGGCTCATTCCCAGTTGTGGAGATGAAATTCCCAGCTCCTGTCCTGGCCTTCTCTGATACCACCCTAGTAAGGGTGGAAGTCTAGCCTTCAACCCAGTCTCTGCTGGCATGGATAAGGTTGAGGCCACAACTTTTTCCGTGGTGTTTAGCTGGAGTAGAACATTTATTGTCTAAAAGTCTTCTGTCTCACTAGGCTGCCCCTTTCCTTGTCCTCTGATGAAAGAAAGCAAGCTTTTGTTGGGGTTTTTTTTTTTTTTTTAATTTGTGCCCAATAACATTTCTGAATTTCTGGCTACTTCAGCTCCAAGTCTGAAAAAACATGAAGCAAAAAAGAAATCCCAGGGAACTCACCCCCGTGTCATTCCTAGTCCCTAGAAAGTCCCTAGCTTGTCTACCTTCTTCTCTTCACCTTTCAGAGTGTTCTTTATTTTATACACAATGTCTGGGAGTTTTAGTTGTACTTAGTAGGAGAAATAGGGAAAAGTACCTATACTCCATCTTCTCAGAAGCAGAAGTAGAGAAATCAATTTTTAAAACTTCAAATACAAGTTTCTGCTTTACAACAGAAGCTCCTTTTAAATGGATAATAGCCTAAGAAAGAATGATTTAATTAGGAGATTTGCAATAAATGAAGCACTTGAAAATCAGGACATATAACAGTGTTATGTAATTCTCTTTCAGAGCTTTTCTATGTCTAGATACCTCATTTTTTCCTAAGTACTCTTTCAGTCTCTAATTTTACATCACTAAATTAAAACATAAGGGATCAATATGACCTAGGATTTAAGACAAAACTGTATCACTCTTTGAGAGGTATACTCAGCTTCTGATCTTATTTTCACCTATCTATGAAAGTTCACCTCCCAAGTTTACAGCACATCCAATACTCTAGGCAAATAACAGAGGTCTGACTTTCCCCATGTGACTGTTGAATCAACAACGTGGCTTAAAGTGGTGATGAGAGGCTTTTGAGGTTTTAGGTCTTTCCTCCTGACAACCTGCTAAACCATATATACAGTATCATCTGCAACAATGAAGATACTGACCTACCTTAATTTAGCCTTAATTTTATTTACAGGATGCATCGCTCATTTGTAGAACTCATTGCCACCTGAAATTGTATATTTATTTGTTTCCTCCTTATTTACTACCTCTCCCCAATAGACTATAGGCTTCAGGAGAGCAGGGACCTTTTTGCTCTCTCCTATATCCATCACCTAGAATACCTCCTGGCACAGAGCGGCAGTCCATCATGATTTGCCAATGAAAGGAGAAGATGTAGCATAAAATCTCTCTCCTCCAAGAAGCTTCTTATATTCTTCCAGTTCATGGCTATGGTATTTCTCTTTGAACATACAGAATTTATGTAGCAATTCATGATGTGCTGCCTTTAATAACTAACACCAATGTGTTCTGTGGCAACTGACCCTTGTACTGTTATTTGACCTTCCATATATGTATGTGTGATCTCCCTAACTAGATACCTAAACCATGAGGGTAGACAAGACCTACGGAGTGTCCATTAGGAACTGTGTGGAAACAGAAAGACAACAAGAAACAAGACAGCCATTGTCCCTGCCATCACCAAGCTTAAAATCTTCCATGGCGTCCAGCACAAGACTTCATCCTTGGTACGAACTCAAACAGTTTGCCTATTAAATTATTGATTAAAAAGCTCTAACCAGTTTGGGGTACAAAGTAAGGATAACTATAAATATCTTTAAATTAATGGTATATTATTATTAAGCAAATGAATAAGTGCATCATTTTAAAGGAAACTTGAACTGAAATAATACTAGCTTTTATACATCTGTATTAAGTATTTCTACTTACATGATCTCACATACTCCTCAAAACCCCACTAAGGTAGAATTATTTTTTTAATACATGAAAAAACTAAAACTCAGGGATGTTAAGTGACTTGCCCAATATCAAACAGTCAGTAGGCGACCTGGGTTTGAAACTAGGTCTCTTTGCAGTGCTTCAAAGTCTATTTTTTAAAAATACAGGATGCTGTTTCAACCCTGAAAATGATTATTCAGTCATGGAATGTTTCTTGGGTACCTCACGGAGTTGCTCCACCAGCTCTTTCTCTTCTCTCATCTGTTCCATTTTCCTCCGAATTGTAAACTGTGGGTCTATAGATTCCAAATTTCTCTGAGGTCTTAGAAACACTATAATAGAGAGGAAAAAAGAGCCTTTATGGAATGCCTAGTACAAGTTGCCATTTAGGGCTATTCATATTTAATTTAAACAAATAGTTTATTTATCTCAAATAATTTATTTACCACTCACAGAAACAAAGAAATTCTGACTTCACATGAAAACCTTGATTTGAATATTCTAAGGAAGATTATATTTTAAATTATCCTGGGTTGTGTGGACTAACAAAGGCTGCACCTTTTGGAATAAACTGAATCCAGGAAAGGATTGTCATCCTTGATACCATTCCAGATGACTTCTCTGACGGATGTCCCCTCCCTCTCATTTTTCCACAGTTTTCATTCTAAGTTTTCATTTACACTCAAGGTTTCACCATCCTTTCATTAAATTCAGATAATTTGTTTCAAATAAGAAGACTTAGAATTGCTTTACATGTTAAAAATAAGCACAGGTTAATAATATTGTTGGCTAAGATTTTTTATAAGCCTGGGTTAAGAACTAAGTGATGACACATAGGGTTACACATTTGAGTGCGGAGTGGAAAAATTCTGACTTCTATCACGTCACTGACACTGTATCCAAAAAGTCAGCTCTTCAGAGATGACCATAGACTCCTTTTAGAAAAGTTGGCAAGATTGGAGGCAGTTTAAGAAATCATTCTTGGCTTCAGGTCCTTAAAATTACAACCTCCAAGAATAGCAATGAACAGTGGTGCTCCCTCTGAAAGGAGTTAGGGCTCTGGCTCCAGAGAAAACGTCAGCTCTAAATCTCTGACAGATAACATCTTTTAATGACTAATAAACAAAGTATAAAATATTCTATACACGGCAGAGTGATTCTAGCAAGAGCTTTAATCAATTTTTATTATGACACAAAGCCCAGGGCAGATTTAAACTTGAATTGTTTTCTTCCTTGAGAATTTTATCCTATTAAGACTGTCAACTTTCCACGAGCACCAGAGGGGGCAAAGAGCTGAGAAGCTGTATTTGGATCCCCCTGTCCCATAGACTTTCAGATTGTGTGTGTGGTTTTTTGGGGTGGGGCAGGGGGCGGTGGGGGAGCCCTTCAAGAAATTTTGGGCAGAGAACTCCAATTTTAAAAATCAATACCACAGAGAAGGCTGCACTGACATACTGCAATCCTAGTAGTTTCAATCACCATATTTTAAATAACGTAGAATAAGACGACTATGCAACTTCTATTCTATTCTGACAAACATTTCGTATGAGCCACCCTAAAAGCTATTTCAATTTACTGGTTTTTTAAAAAAATTAAATATGGTTTACAGACATACTTCAAATAAAAAAAACTTATCTACTTCATATAATCAATTATCCCATGCTCAACCAACTACATCATTTTAATCCCAATTTGTATCTTTGGACCTAAGCACCTTAGGAAATGACCTGCACTATACTTCTCACATCTCAATGTTTTCTTTCTAAATCAGTTGTAGGATATTTGAATCAGCATTCGACGCTCTATGGAAGACCAGAAAGTTGATACATCTTAATAAACCCTTGACCTTAATAAACCCTTAATAAACCCTATGATCTAATGCACATAACGCCTTCTGGAACCTCAGAGAGGAGCCAGCCTGGGGCCTGGGCCTCTGACTCAAGCCACCCAGGGAAGTCACAGGCAAAAGGAGCCAAAGGCATGTCACTGAAGGGCTGTCAGCAAGACCACAAAAACCAAACCCTCAGGAAGTGAGACCAATTGTTTCAAAAATAAATGCGAGGCTGCCAAAGGAAGAAGGGCAAAGTAACCCTCCCGGCAGGGAGAGATGAGAAGTTTACAGAGCAAAGGGAAATGAGGAAAAGCTGGACAAAATAGAAGCACAGAAGAAACTGAAAATGCATTAAATTTGCCTTTACACCATATTGAGTCAAACAAAAAAATCTACCCATTTAAACATAGCAAGCAGAAGAGATATATATTAAAATGTAAAATCTAGAAATAATCCACACCCCCAAGAAGAGAAGACAATCAAATTTACCAAAAAAGTCAAGGAATGTGGACAGAGTTGAGTAATACACACAGAAGCCAGCAAGGGGCGCCCCAACACTGTTTAAACAAATGGAATGTTTTCTTTGGAGGTTGTATTTTCCTTTGCCTTTTTTCCAGGGGCAATCTTATCTAAAACTGCATGTTTAATATTTCCAATATGTTTTTATTGGCAGATATCTTTCTGAATATGAAACTATCAGGAAGTTAAATCAACCGTGAGCTTCTGTTTAGCAGCACACAATTCAAGCATCTACGCCTTGTTAGAGCCCTATGTGAGGTAACAAGATAACGCAATGGTGTCTGGGTTTTAATTTCCTGGCACTGCTTTTCATCTTAACTTCCTTTGCATCTTAAAAACACAAAATGCCTACTTGGATATTTGTTCTATGAATGTTAAGCAATCGCAAAGTGTTAAAATACATCTGAACTTTTTAAAATGAACACTTCAAATGTACATAAAATTACTGGAAACCATGACTATAATACTACAAGTTTTCTAAATGGATTAATACTGTGGAATACCTGAGAATTTAAAACAAAATCTTTAGGCTAATAATAAATCTACAGAACACATAAGTGTTTTCTTATTTTGCTGGGTTTGTTAGGACAGAATAAATTTAATGGAACCATTATGATAGCTCTGATTATATTACCCACAGTTTTTTTTTTTCAAGTTATATTTAAATAATAAATACAGTGACCAGCCTGGGTCAAAGCTTCAAGAAACCGATCTATGGAAGAATTATTCTGGTTTTTCCTTAATTTCATATCACTAAATCTCAAGAACTTTCTCACTTAATTCAAGGGAATAAATGTTTAACTTGAGGCTACAAGACCATGTTAAGAAGAGCCGCAACACTAGCACCTGTTTTCCAAATCAAATGCCACCTTGACTATTTAAGTGTAGATAAGAAGAAATAAAGAGAGTACAGAGAGTGTGTCCACGAGTGGCTGTGTGTGTGTGTGCATGTGCACAGATGCATACATGCCTAAGGAGTAGCAAAAGACAAGGAGGTAGGTGGTTTAAGACGCAGGAAAAAATTAGTCTTACTTAACTGTTTAATTACTATATATCAAACAAACAACATTCAAAGAATGAAAAAGACAATTTGCTGATGTTTGTAATTTATTTAGCAGAAGAGACAAATTTCTAAGCAAAGACTCCGCAGGGAATGATGAATATGTTTATGCAGATTATCAAATTCATCCTTGCAGGTACAGGTGAAATTCCACTGATTTCCCCATTATCTCCACCTCTTCCTTCACTCTCCTCATCCTTATCCCAGACCTGGGAGTGATGTGCCTGGTACAAACGTACAAAATTTTTTATCTGCGTCTCTCTCAATGCACTCACCACTTTGTCTTACAGTGTAGACCTGTTTCTCTCCATTAAGACTCTGTAAGAGTTTAAGTCTGTTTCCAATTTGTACCTCTACCTGTGCCCCACACAGCAATTTGTTGGGTGAATAAATGAAACAGGTGTTTCAAAAACTACTTCATTCAAAGACCAGTCTATTTGGAGAGTATCTTTGCAGAGATTACCCTACCCTGATAATCAGTCATCTGAATTTTTCCTGTCATGAAAAATCTCCTAAAGCTTAGTTCCCAGGTCTGAACACATTAGACTCTGAAATAAAAGTTCCATGAAATCAGAGATCTTGTCTGCCTTTTTCAGAGCTGTATCCATAGTAACAAGCATCAGGCCTAGCACATAGTAGGCACTCTAGATATTTAAGGATGTGCACAAGAAACCATTTCTCTAATTGTTGTAAGAATATCTTTTAGTAAGCAAAGAAAGCCCACTGCTTTAAAAATTGCCTGAAATGTTACTTAATTATTATGTGAAATGCATTCTTCATATAGAAATTATCAGTCTATATTATTAACCTTTATTACCTAAATTTAACTCAATGAGAGGAGATTTCTTCTCTGTGGATACATGAAGTTTTGAAATTTAGCTCTCAGTTTCTCCCTGGAAGTTAAGAACGTGGACTGGGTGTGATGTTTAAGATATACAAATTCAAGGGCAGCAATATGGTGGCTTTGAAAAATTATCATAGGCTTTAGATCCAGGCTAACGTGAGTTAGAAATCTGACTAGCTCATTTATTTATTCCCTTCTGGTGTCCAAAAATGAATTACATAAATTGTCTGCCCTCGAAATGCTCAAATTCCTCTCTGTGGTCTTGGGCAATTTACTTAAGTGGCTTTCACCATCTTGAACACAACATAAAATCACTAAAAAATAACCAGGCCTAAGACCCCATCCTACACCAAATAAATCAGCATCTCTGACTGTGGGGTATAGGCAGCTTTGGTTTTAAAAATTTCCAGGTGATTCTAATATGAAGCCAGAGTTAAGAATCACTAAAACACCCCTCACGGCCTCAGTATCCACATTTTTGTAATGGGGAAAATAATACCTATAAGAGCAAGATTATGGTAAAAGTTAAAGAAAATGCCTGTAAACTGGCCCCAAATGGATATGTCCATTCATTCATTCTCCAGTGATAATTTAAAGATCAATTTTAAATAAGTATAAATTAGCATCCACCAATTCACTGCAAATGGAAAATGATTCAAAAGAAGATAAGAACAGTTTTAACTTCAAAGCAAAGGGGAAAATGACAGAAAGATGCAGAGCAGTAAGAGAGCACAAAAGAAAGAACAGAAGTGAAGTTTTCAAATGACTTGAAGTTAAGCTGTCCCATCCAGTCTCAGGGATGGATAGACCTACACACACACTTTCGAATCCTCCCCATTTAGCAAGAGGCAGAACTCTGGGGACTGTGGGAATTCAAAATCCCAAGGACCTTCTAGCCAGTTTGACATTTTTCAGCTCCTTTGCAGAATGAGTTTTAGAGAAAATGGAGAATTTAAAATGAGATCTATTTGGAACAAAATATTGGAAAGAATTTAAACAAAGGGGAATTTTAATACAAAGCGAGACAGAGAACAAGGAATAAAAATGCCAACTTTACCAAAAATAATAACTAAAGACT